GGTGCGGTGCGGTCTCGGCCGCCGGTGTCTTCTCCCGCTGTAACGGTTGTTACACGTTCTCTTTGAAGCCGACATGTCTCGAGAGAGCGGGCGCGAAGCGCAGCCGCCGCAGGACGCCCCGCAGTCCCAGAGCGGTACCAGCTCCTCCTCCGGCGGGTCCCAAGGCACCAGCCAGTCTTCCTCCAGCTCGGGGACGCTCAGTTCTTTGGACACTGTTCCTACCCAGGAGCTTCCATCTATCCCTGAGGACCAGGAATCTGAAGAGCTTGTTCCTCAGCCGTGGGGTCGGCTCTTTGCACTCGGGAAAGGTTTCAGCAACTGGGGTATGTTGGTTCTGTGACAAGCCCCTGGGCTCATTTGTGGCACCTCAGAGAAGCTTTGGGCGGTTTGGTACAGAGCAGAGGCTTCATTTGCAAATGAGGTACAAGCAAAGTTAAGTACGAGCTTACAACTTCTGCAGCGATGCCGTATTCCATACTACATCCCAGTCTATTCTGAGTACCAGATACACAGCTTCCATGGACTTAGAGGTGTTTTGGGCGTTCATGTTCTTTGTTACTTGCTTCATTTTTCTGTTTCATAATTTGTTGACGTGAGTCTGTATTGCTGAAGGTGAACTGGAAACTGCTCTGACTAAAGAGGGTAAAATCAGTATTGTGCAACATATTGATACTACAAGGTGCTTTGTCTGAATTAAGACAAAGACACTTGATCGTATGAGAAGGCTCTTGCCTTTGTTACCCTGCTCATTATATTGTGGCATCATTATGTAGTGCCACAGTTCATAACTTCCTGCAATTTTGTTTTCTCTCTGCTTTACTTCCCCCTCCTCTATAGACTGTGTGAATGATGAATACTGGTTCGGAAGAGACAAAAGCTGTGACTATAGTTTTTCTAAGCTAGGACTGTCTGAAACTGGCTTCTACCAGAACTATAGCAAGAAGCACTTCCGAATTTTCAGGGTAGGTGCTAAAAAGGTCAGCTGTCTCTCTCTATCCTGGCATAATTGAACAGATTGGCTTTGGTGGGGGCAGATCGTAAAGAAATCAAAGTTTAAGTGCATTCAGTGTTGACTCTTTTAACAAGACCTTTGGCAATGCTTCGTTATGAAATAACCTCAGTAGCCTGATTTCCTGAGCCAACAATAGTAATTTTCTACAATCTTTCATGTCTTCACAGTAAAAATCATTGTTCCCCAGTTATCTTTCCTTTTTTTTTTTCTCTTTAAGGAAATGGGTCCAAGAAGTTCACATGTTGCCTACATTGAAGACCACAGTGCAAATGGAACCTTTGTTAACAGAGAGCTCATTGGAAAAGGGAACAGGCTTCCACTGACTCACAACTCTGAAATTGCACTGTCTGTACAGACTAATAAGGGTAAAATGTCCTATAACACAAGTAGGTTCTTCTTGTGCTGATACATGGTCATTTCTGCAGTGCTTTGAATATGTTTCTTGCCAGCTGAGCTGCTTCATGAGTGCTGTTAAAATACAGGTATCAATTGCTGGTTTAGCACTCACGTAAAAATTACCCATATCCACATCCACGACCGAAGAAAACTTAAAAGAAGCTGCATCAGGGACCACTGCACCAGAGTATAAACTTTTCTGGTTGTTTTCCTATCTTTGAAACACTTCTGTGCATCAGTAGCTCTGTATGTCGTGGAGGGAACAGGGAATGGACTGTTCAAGGGCAGCTGAAAACACTCCACGTACTTAACAGATGCTGCATAATAATTAAAAAACCCTCATAAAAAATGAGCAGGATTGAGGTTTTGTTTCTTTGTCTTTGCTTTTGCACCAAGATGCCACCTTCCTGATTGTCACTTCTCTTTACTACCTGCTGTGACATCAAAATTCTTGCCTATTTTGTCCTTAAATGTAGTGTTTCTTGATTAAGCACTGTTGTGAAGGTGATACCAAAGATGTCAGTGTTCAGTGCTGAGACCACGTGGCTAACTCACAGCTGGTGTCATCCAGAGCAGCAGTTAACTTTTAAAATATATGTATGTTTTTGTTCTAGCAGGCAGCACTTTCTTAGTTACGTTGTTGACTATAAAAGCTCAGGAAACATAGTTGCTTGTTATATAAAATTTTAAAGTTAATAACAGGAACATGATTTCCACTCATCTTCCTAGTGTTTGTATTTTCTGATCCTATGGTGGATGATCAGTTGGTGTTTCCTCGAGAATTCAGAGAGAAATATATCATGTCCAAGACTTTGGGAAGGTAAGTTTCCGGCTTTCTGCAGTATTCAGCATTCATTTTATTACTGGGTTTAGCACCCTGGGCTGGAATTAACCAGAGTTCATTGAGCTGCTGCCACAAAAAAAATAAAACCAGAATGTGAATGCCTGAATAAACCTGTTCTTCAACAGCTAGAGCAGGATTTTAACTTTATTCCCATAATTGGCTTGGGTTTTGTAACCTCCCATTAACTGTGAAACTGTTTGGGTTTTTATTCTCTAAAAGAGAATAAAGTCTGTAGATTATTAATAAGTTTTACAATTCCATAGATTGATTTAATTATTGGAAGTAAAAGGAAAAGCTTTATGTTAGAATATACACTGGTGAGGCCTTCAGACAGAATGGGGAAGAAGTGTTCTTGGGAAGGAGAGGAAAGGCTGTTGAGTGGAGGCTGTTCTTTTACCTTTTGGAAAAAGATGGTAAAGAATTTGGAGAACGGTTAAGTGGAAAGAAATCTGAGTGCAAAATACAAGGATTTCTTTCTGTAATGTAATTGCTACTTAGTGTAAGTATTGTCATGCCTATTCAGATTTGTGCAGTCTGGTGTTGAGAGAACTATTCATGAGGTTCTCTTCTCTTAAATGCATTTGTGTGATGGGAATGCTGGCAGAGCCTGTCCTTGATGCTCACTGGTACCCTTTGTACAAACAGAGTAGTCACTCTACAGGTCTACTCCTGCATTTTGAATGGGTGGCCCTTGACATCACTTGCTATTTAAACAGACTTCCCAAGTATTGAATGCTTTCTGAGAAAGTTTTGACAACATGCCATGTTCAGAAAGTTAGAAAGCAGCAGCTTTCATTCTGTTTGTCTGTACTGGTTATGCAAATTCCTGTGAACTACTTGCAAGCACTAACCTAGCTGTGCTTTTATGTTAGTGGTGCCTGTGGAGAAGTCAAACTGGCGTTTGAGAAGAGCACTTGTAACAAAGTCGCGGTGAAGATCATCAATAAACGGAAGTTTCTGGCGAGTGGGATTGAGGCAGTAAGTGGTTTTCTTTGGTTTTCTGTCTGTTGGCTGTCTTGCAGTGCTCCTGGAATGTCTGGCAACCTCGCTGCCTCCCCAGCTCTCTTAAACTAAAGACCAGTTTCTTTCTGGATGTATCAATTTCTTTGATGATGAGAAAATGGCCTTCAGAGCACAGATAAAATATACAGAATCTGTTCAAACTGACAAGTAGGAAACTACTACTTGCATTGGAAAATATGTTTGTGAAGACAAAAATTCTGAGGTTGAAAGGGAGCCGGCTGAGGAAGAGATGCCAGGAGGCTTCAGTGCAGTGGAGTTAGTCGTAAGTGGCAGGTTTGAGAGTTTGTCTTGAGATTAGTCTTCCATCCTATTACATTTACAGATCATGGCACAGAAAGTGGGAAAACACAAATTCACCTCTTTGGCACTGACCCGAAGTCTCTGTTGACAGACAGGAAGATTGCAGTACTGTGTAGAACTGATACTTTTGTATGCTGGAGAAATACAAGTTGGGTAATGTTTAACAGTGCAAGGTTGTGTACTTGAAGATCACTGACAGCTTCTGCTACAGCCTACACTTTCCCTAGTTCAGAGAAGGAGGTACAGTTATTTGCAGATGAATATGTGGCATCAACGTGATTGAAAATTGCAAAATGCAACTTTGGAACATTTCTAATAAAGCTTAAGAAATGCTGTTAGGAATTATGATTATTGAGAAATGCTGTTGTGCAAAACAGGACTGCATGGGAATGTTGTATGTGGATTTGATTGTGTGTGGTCAAAGACGATTTGGAGTGGAAGAGAAAAAAAACTGCTGGGCTGATTTAATGAGTTGAGCCTAAGCCACAGCTAAAAGAATCTGTTTATGTCACCTTGCTGTGAAGGCTCAAAGAAAGTAGCATTTAATTTCAGGGTTAGCCCATGAGGAAAGCATCTTGGAGGGAGGAAAGGTGTTTAGAGAACAATACTGGTACATGCTCACCAAGATTTTTTTGGTGTATTTGGAAATAAGGTGAAGATTTCTAACCTGCAGTGACACAGTATGTCTGGAGCAATATCTTGCTACGGACAGTAAAAGCAGACTGTTAGTTTTATTCACTGAAGGCACCTGATGGGTTTATGGAAAAAGGCTGTATGTTATGGTCACTTAAAGAAGCAAGGGACATGAAACAATGGCTTTTCTTTTTTTTCTCTTATTTCTGATGTGTCTTATTCCAGAACAGCACTGTCTTACCTGTATGATATTTGATTTTTTTAATAGAATCCAGCTTTTAATATCAGTACAGAAATTGAAATTTTGAAGAAAATAGATCATGTGAGTGATACTGTACATTTTTACTCCTTTTTGCTGCCTACTCTGCTTCTGTAGTTTGCTGACTTCAGTGTAGTAAATAAAGATCCATTTTATCTGTCTAGAAAATATGTTAAAGGATGCGTATAATTTTTTTTGTAAATAAGTCTATTGAACACTTTAGCTGCAGATTTGAGGATATGCAGATTTGAGGGTTTTAAACCTTGAATAACTAAAATGTAAATTTGGGAAGAAATTTCACAGTTTCAGCCTGAACCACTGTTGCAGAAATCTGTCCTTGATACCTGTTTTTGGAAATACTGCCAGACGACTACATAGAAAGATTAGATTCCACTGGGAGCTTTCTGAACTTGTATCCCCTCTTTCTTCTGCATCCTCCCCTGCCCTACAAAAGGCATTTGGTTTACTTTCCTTAGGTAGAAAGTTTCCATACCTTAATTGATTTTCCCTTGCTTCCAATGTGCTATTGCATATAAAGAAAATACTGAGGATATGATGACTCACAGCTGGAAAAAATGCTATTTGTTGAGCTGTAGTCACTGCAGGAGCTGGATGTCTGTGTGTGTGGAGGTATGGGGGGAAGACAACAGACTTGAATACTAAGAGTTTGCCAAAGCCTGGGGTACAGCTCAGTTGTATTAAGTGTTAGTTTAACTGGCATGGTTGAAATCAGACTGAAATAGGAGCTTTAGGATGATAAACTCTTGATAATGTTACTTTTTACAAATGATTCTACTTTTTTGTGTGTGTCCATTTGTGTTCCCTTTTTTATTAGCCTTGCTTAATCAAGATCAAAAACTTCTTTGAAGCAGAGGATTACTACATTGTGTTGGAACTGTAAGTAACTTGTTTGAAAATAAATGCAGAAAACACAGTATTTTTCATAGCCATGTTCTCCAAAACCTCTGTAAAATCAGAAACTTGGGTGACTGGGGAGTGATCCTGCTCTGCTGGGCAGGCACTTAGTGCTTGGGTAGTTGCCCAGTTTGCTGCTGTTGTGGATTGCTGCTACTTCTTTTGATTTTGAGCTTGTAAGAAGAGGCTGATCAGAACCCTTGTCACAATTCCCAGTGAAGACTTGGGAGATCAGGCCTAATGCAGTAGTGCATATGCTGTGTTTAGGATGTTGCTTACTCATTTTCAGAAGCACATTCTTCCTCTGTAGCTAAAGTAGCCAAATGTTTTGATCTCGGTCTTGTCCAATTAGGTTAATTTTTTGGAAGTAATATATTGACTTGTTACCTGCCTTTACTTTAGGATGGAAGGAGGAGAATTGTATGACAGAGTGTCAAGGCCAGTCAAGATGAAAGAAGCTACCTGCAAGTTGTATTTTTATCAGATGCTGCTGGCTGTAAAGGTACATAATCATAAACTCTACTAAGAGAAATATGGTTATGCATATGATTCAGATGAATTTTTCTGTCATTTGTCAGTTCTGAAACCTGTGCAAGCAATCAGCACAGCGCTCTTGACAAGTTGGTTTAAGAAGATTCTTTACCTCAGTGCAGTCAAAGAACATTCAAACACTCTTACTTGTTAGTAACAGGACTAAAGTAATAATCCAGGCTGTGCTCATTGATGGCAGGATTATCATGTGTGACTTCTAGTAGTGTCTGGGCAAAGAGCCATCAGTATAGTGGCCTTCAGAAAACGTAGTGATCAGATGCTTTACTGTGCGCTCCTGAGTAAATGTTTCAGTTCAGCAGACAACAGATTTAGACTACTTCAGTAGATCTCAAATACTCAATATTGAGCCCTTAGGTAAGTTGATGAAATGGTAAGCATATTTCATTAGTAACTTCTGCAAGATTGTTTTCTACATCAGACTTAACTGGACCTGAATATGCTTTCAGATCAATTCTTTTTCATTTTGACTTAATTTTAATATCTTGCAACGGCAGAGAGAGAGCAGTGAACATCTGGAAAGCTTGCACTTGAAAAACGTCAATAGTCTGTTTTTCTTTGGTCTGCATGTATCTAGTATCTTCATGACAATGGAATTATACACCGAGATCTAAAGCCAGAGAATGTGCTGCTTTCATCCTCTGAAGAGACATGTCTGATAAAGGTAAGGAAACTTACATTCTTGTTCATTTAGAAATTTGGGAGTGTTCCTTCCCAGTCTTCTGAATATTTAGCTAAACATAACAAAAAAATATTGTGGAATTAGTCATACAAACTGTGAAACATTGAGGGGTTTTTCATAATTTTAATTTTACTTCTGTGGTTATTTCAATGCCTACACTTATCTGAACAAATGAGAAATGTGCTTTTATAGCACTAAATTGAGCACATAACTTCAAATGGAGTTTGGGGGGGGGTAGGGTTGGGGTTTTTTCATGCTAAACTGCTTACTGTTTCAAGTAATCCCTTCTAATAATCTACAGCTCCTTTATTATTCTTGTCCATTTACATCCAAATCTGAGAGTACTTTTTTGCTAGTGTAAAGTGTGATCCTCTGTTATACTTCTCCCTACTCCCCCTTTCCCATTCTCTGTTTTGTTTACTGAATGTTTAATAAAGTTTGGGGTAAATTTTGTTCATAGTCATGTACTGGAACTGACTTGGAAGGAAGAAACTCAATGTTACCTCCTGATGTATGTTGACAGTATGATATGCTGTAGTACAATCAGTCCTAATATGTAATGTGGTGTTACCATTTTTAAATACAAGATTACAGATTTTGGACAATCCAAGATTCTTGGAGAAACTTCTCTTATGAAAACTTTATGTGGTACTCCCACGTATCTTGCTCCTGAGGTTCTAAATTCACTTGGGACTGCTGGATACAGCCGAGCTGTGGACTGCTGGAGTTTAGGAGTTATTCTTTTTGTATGGTAAGATATTGTGTAGATGCTACTTTCATTGGGCAGTCATTGACATGGCTCAAGACTTGGCAACTTCAGTACTTCTATTAGGAAGTGAAAGCGTGTTTAAAACTATATACATGTGAAAACCTGCTATGTTAGCAGATGCTTTTAAATGTGTAATTTTAGTGTTTCACTTGCTATGACAAAATCTGTGTTATTTAGCATCTTTTCTTTTCTATAGCTTGTGTGGCTATCCACCGTTCAATGAGCAGAATACTCAACTGTCCCTGAGAGATCAAATCACTCGTGGAGAATACACGTTCATTTCAAAAGAATGGAAGCATGTGTCACAGCTGGGTATGACTCCCTCGCTGGGGGTAGCAGAGTATCTAGCTCTTTTCTTGTAGTTTTTGTTTTCCTTTAACTTCCTTTCAGCTCTATGGTACGTTGCTTCTTGATATGTTTAGTTTTTAAAGTAGTCTCTTAAAAATGTTTTGTTCTTTTTTAAGTTGAAGCATTGGAAAGAGCAGGTACATTTTCATTGAAGAGATTTCTTAGTAGTATTTCACTTTATTAACTATAGAAATATTGAGTTTGTGGGCACTTAGGTCTATTTTTCCTCTTTTTGCTTTTTCTTTTGACTCTTATCAGGCTCGTCTGAAAACTTTGCCTTGCTCAAAGATTCTTCAAGTGTGGAATTAAAAATGACAGGAATTCAAGGAATATGAGTTAGAAGTATTAAGAGTAATTTAGTGGTGCTAGTCTTCAGTGGTGCTTAAAGTATCAGCCATGTTTGTGGAATCAGCTATTAAGTTTGGGCCACTCTAAGCTCAATAGTCTGCAGAACTATTTGTGGTTTTGTATAGCAACCTGAAACGGGAGTTACTGTCTGCATGCTGTTCTTGAGCACATTTTATATGCACAAAATAATTGTAGTATTTGCCTTGGATACTCCTTTGTATGTGCAGAGGAATTTCTAATAAATGATGTGATGATTTTTTTTCTAATAAGCTTACCAAATACAACTTCTTCCTGAATGACTTCAAGCTTATTCAATAATAAGTCAGACATACATGAGAATGGGAATTATGTTATGGTCATACATAGTCCTAATGGTATGTACAACAGAATAATCAGATACAAGGAAAAGTAAGTCTTGCCAAAAGTCCTTTATGGAAGATTTGGAGTCATAAAATACGACATAAATGCTGTATTTTTCACAGTGCCTGTTAAGCAGTTTCCTAAGAAAACAATGATTATGTGATGATGTTGAGCACACATGTATGTCTTGTCTCTTCCATCTTCCCAGACAGATCATCTCCTTTCCAAGACACCGTAAACCAGGAAACTAAACTAAGCTATCTTTGCCTGTCCACAGTAATACTGAAGCTTTTAGGAAAGTGCTGAACTTCCTTTGCATGCTCAGAGCATAGATGGTAGACATGCTCAGTATATCTATATCTGCTGGTAATTTTGGTGTACTGAAAAGCGTTGAATCACGTGCATGTGGAGGAAGAATGGTTGCAGACTGCAGCCCTCCCTGTGCATAGAAAAAATAAGGGATCTGCCCAGCCAGTATTTTTGGGCATTGTTCTGAAATGTTAGAAGACACTTTTTTGCACGTAGCTTTGATGTATGCCTATTACAGAACTTATTTTCAGGTAATGAATTTATTGATCATATGTCAACTACCTCTTTTTATTACCTTAGCTCTGGATCTTGTGAAGAAGCTGTTAGTAGTGGATCCAAGCAAGCGTCTTACAACTGAGGAAGCCTTAGAGCATCCTTGGCTTCAGGTAGGAACTGAGTCTTAACTGAAGTACTGCAAAACTGGGTTGTTCTGGAGATAACTTCTTCACGTAAATGCAAAGGCAGTTCAGTAGCCTGAATGCTACAAGGTTTTGCTGATAGAGTGTAATTTGCTTCTGCAAGGAAGCAGAGGAACACTGACTACTGTGGCCACCAGTGATGTGTTGCCTGATCCTGCTTCTCTGGAGGATACCATAAAAGGGATACAGTGGTGGGCCATAAGAGCTTCAGTTCTTTAGCTCCATAGGAATAACAACCGTTACCGTCAGTCAGAGCTGAAGTCCATAGGTTGTCTCTGACAGTAGCCAGCGGAAAAGCAATTGTCATTTGGTGCTTCTCATAAGCATGCACTGCTGCCGGCCAGCTGGCTGAACAGTTCTGCTGCTGTTGTAAGACCAGAGAGATCCTGCTGCCTACTTATGGAGAGAGAAGAGAGAAAGAAAAGGCTGTATAATTAGGAATTATTTGTATGTTTTACTGGCGTCATGACGTAGGAAGAAAAGCCATCAGACCCCAGCCTGTAGGATGACATTAGCCCAGATACCGTAGCCACCATCTTCCTGGTGGACAGCTCTAAATCCTTCAATTCCATGGTCCTTTTCAACTGTCGTTGCTATTTGTAGTCTTGTAGCCTTGCCTGATGGTGTTCGGTGCCTTTTCCCACCCTAAACATCTTTGCTTGATTTCCCTTTTGACTTCTCCTTTGCCCTCCACCTTGCCATGAGGTTTCCATATGTAGGTTTTACCTTGCCACATCACAAACCCTTCTGCCAAAGAGAAAAAGGAATCAGTAACTTCTTCCTCTCTTCTCGAAAGTGGTCACACTATCCTCGGGTTTATGTCTGTTGCCTTTTCTCTTTATTAGCTGGATGATCCATTGTCTTTGTGGCTTAACTAACAGCATTGCTGCTCATGTGACCTCATATGCCCCCTCTGCACAGGCTGTGGGCATTTCTCAGCCCTGACCAGTTTGATTACTTCCTGATGCAGCTTGACACATGTGAGAATGTGTCTTATTGCTAAGTGTGTCAGGACCCTTGGCAGCAGCCGTATGAACCTGTATAGGAGAGCTTCTTGTTCTCTTGGTCTTGTGATCTTTATTACATTGTCATATAATAAAGGTGGCTAAAAGCAGTTTGGGTCCTTGACAAGTGAGGTAATTTTCTCAGGCAATATCTGCAGTATCCCATGGCTAATGCATCTTCAGTAACCTGCATTCAGGTAAGGGAGAAGGAGTCAGATTCTATAACTTGTCTGCCTGTCTAGCTGGAAGAAGGCATTTCTCATTTTGTGTGGTCACTATTCTGTGGTTATCCAACTGATGTTTGACTCTGGATCATGTTCTATAGGCATTGTAGAGTACTGAACAGTTCTGTCAAGCTAAACTAGGTCCTATTCCAGTCTATCGTCTTTAGCTGAGTAGCGTGTCCGGGCTCCTGCAGTCCTGTCATCTCTGGCCTTTCCCTCAAAACAGCTGTTTTTGTGGGAGGAAGACGAAACTGATTTTGATGTTAAAAGAATCAGACTTCAGTGGTTAATGGTTAAACACCAACAGTGAGCTCCTCATGGTCTCTGCTTGGGAATACTTGTAATAGGTAGTTTCCAAATATCTGCCTGGGTCAACACTGTACATTAGTGGTTGAGCACAGGTGATAGGTACAGTTCTTTCTACTTCTGTGCCGTGCCATTCAGCAAGCTGCAAGTCTGTTGCTCTGTTTAGTGCCAGCTTTTCTGTCACTAATTCCCACCAGCCAGTTGGTTTCTCTGAAAGGTGTGGTGCCAGCTCAACAGTAGAGGTTTACAGGCCTTTCTATTTTTGTTGAAGGAAACTGTTATTAAGCTGCTCTTCGCCACACTCTAGCCCTGTTTCAACAGCGTTTGTATGCCTCCATGATCTGCTCTAGATTGAATGGAAAATCCTGGATCTCTGGATTTTTTAATAGAAAATAAAGCCCAGTCTGCATCTGTAGCTAGTCTGTCCTTTCAAATGTTTAGACCCTGCAGAGAGGCCTGCAGAAGAGGCATGAGGATTCTGCTGAATACCTTCTTTCAATACAACCAGCAGCTTCTGCATCCTTTCTGAGGCAACTCAGAACTCTTTAACATCTGGGGATCGAGATGTGTTTTTTAGAGACCACATCTGATTGTGGTGCTGATAGGATGGACCACCTCCTCCTTCCTTATCTTGTTTGTGCGGGCAGGCAGTGCAGAATCCTGCGGAGTTTGTTTCTGGCAAGTGTCCAGGACTACTGTGTTCTTACCATGATGAGTATGAGTAAATCTTCCTGGTTGGGGAACAAGCTGAGTGGGAGGCAGTCATTTCCCTGCCTCCTGTTGCAGTCCAGTTGGGTTCGTGAGAGGTTGTCTTTAGGTGGTCTTTTAATAACTTTGGCACTCCAGAGGTGACCAGTGGCCTGTGAGCTTTCCTGGATATTTTTGGTTGAGGAGGCTGAAGAAAGTCACCCAGCCTACCTCTGAGCCACACAACAGGTTCTATTTGCTCATGCTAAGCATAATGCTATTCATACTCCCCTGCTGGGAACAGTGTCTGGTTTCAGATGCTTAGGTAAAGAGCATAAGAAACAGGGTGGAAGCAAGGGAGTATCACTCACTTCTCAACAACTGGCAGCCTCCTGTGACAGAAAATGCATTTGGAAGACTGTTTTTAAGTCTCTGATTTGTCCTAATTGTACTGCTGGGCATCAGATTTCCTGGCTTTTACTGCTGTATTTTTGTGTGTAACTTCTACAGTGAGTTAACTGGGTATAGATTCTTACATTTAGATTATAATTCTGAGCAGGAAATGTTATTGATAAACTGCAACGCTGAATTTTAAGAGTTGATGGCATGCTTAATGGGAAAGGGGAAATATATGACAGTGATTTAGACAAGCTAAGAATTTGAGATATTTCAGTATGTCGACTCAAGTTGTTAGCATCTTGATTCTATATTCCCTTTAGGGACACCTCCTACTATTATGTTTAATTTCGAAGACAGGTCAAAAAGTTTCAGGAAACATCATACCTGAAAATCCAAATGTCATCTAGCATTAGATGCCATTCTTTAAACTGTTTCCCTTCATGGGCTGTTACTAAGTTGTTTATACGTGATGTTCACTGCCTGCTTGGAAGGCCAATATCCCATATGTTCAGTTCTAGATATCACACACGTTGAATACTACAACCCAAAGAGCAACTTGAGTCCTGTTACTGTCAGTAGTGAGAAGGAGTTACTGGCTCCCCACTCCCTCTTGTGTTGTCTGTAAGTATTGTCTCTAAAAGTTAGTACGGAAAAACCGTAACAGAGCATGAGGTGCCATGCTAATGCCTGCTAGTCCTCTCTAATGAATCTGGGTCCACTAGAGAATTTTTCAGATACTAAAATCAAGCATATGCTCCAAACAGAACAATTTCTACAGCTTTATTTAAACCAGTAGTGCTTTTAAATTAGTGTTTTAAATACCTGTGCTGCTTACTCCATTCTTTGCTTAAATCTAAACCTTTAAAACTTAGTGAGCTGCTTAAACCCAAGTACAGTGGAGATGTCTTACCTGTATTTACCAGGTCCTAATAAAACATTTTTCAAAGGCATATAAACAATTAATTCCTGTTTCTTCCTCTGAAAAATTCACTGGGATTAGAATGGGACAGGATCAGTTTTGTTGCATGCTGAAGAAAAACTCAGGTGTTTGTTACATAAATGGAAAAATGTTTATCTTATCTTGCCCATCAACTCAAATGTACCCACAGTCAAAACAGGCGACACTGAAAAAGAAAGTCAAGTCCTAATTCTATATAAAATAAACTGGATGTTCACATCAAAGCCTTTTTGTAGCATTTCAGAACATAGTTAAACCAAAAAAAGGAGATACTGCAATACTTTGTGGCTTTGAAAAAGAACCCCCTCCTCTGCCTTCACCCCCAAAAACCAGTTGAAACATTTGAAATCCTTCAGAGCTCAATGATCCTTGTTTCTAATTGCCTCAGCAGTGAATTCCTATTCATTCACTTTGAGTTTCCCAATCTGTGCTGGGATAATAGAACCAAATTACAGAACCTGTTAGCTTCAGTCTGTTGTTTAGAATAAATGTCTGGGTTTTGGTTCTAGATCAGTTGTTCAGTTGGTGAATATACAGCCGCAGCTCAGCCAAAGGAAATGATCTCTGAGATCACGATGAGCAGCACACTTCATTTAGTCCTGGGAGAGGTTTAAAGACCCGATTTCACATTTGGAAGTCTGATTTAGGGTTTACAGGTAATCCATAGCAACCCATTCTCATAAAATTCCTGCAGGAGAAATTGCTGAAATGGGAGAATGAGAGTTCTTTTTAAAACAGGGAGTATACTATGTCAACTAACTGACTTGTGGGACTGATGTCCGGCTCCCTGAGGTTGCCCAGCATATACCAAGAGCACCCCAGTCTCTGGCAACTGAACCAGAATGAGATTACATGCTAGCTTTTGCTCTTGAAACATGCCTGACTTTCTGCTATGCTAGCTTCTCTTAACAAAGGATCTCTGCTGCCCTTACCCCTGTGGTGTCCTTCATTCCTGTTAATGCTCCTCTAGCCAGGCCTGGTTATGCACAGTTGAGACTTGAAAGCTCACTTCTTTCGCAGTGCATCTCTCCCAGACACTTTCCCTCCACTGATGGCAGCTTCTGGCTTACCACTTTGGGTACACAGGGAATGAACTGTAGTATCCAGTGAACTTTAGTAAAGATATGAATGCTCTATGAGTAATACAATATTTGTTGATAATCGTTTGGGTTTTCAAAAGGGAAACTTCAGTGAAATGCTTTCCAAATGTTTCCATTTACAGCCTTTAATATGTTCTATGGACTTACTTACATTAAGGATAATTTTAAGATACCTTTTGTTTGAAAGTTTGCTGTGTGGGTGGGGTTTTTTGTTTTTATTTTAGGGTATGGGTGTTCTAGCTGGTTCTTCTCTACCTACTGTGTACAACAAGTTTGCTTTGCAAATGAAAACTACCCAAATTTGGGATACTGATGAAGCTGAGCTAGGGGAAATGAAAATATGCTATTAGAAAGGGAAGTCACTATGAGAACAAAATGTAAGGCAGTAAGGAAAATAGGTTTTTTTAAGAGTGATTAACTCTGGTGAGAGCAGGCCCCAAGCCCTTATGAGGCCTCTTCTTCTAATGCTGCCTAATGAATTACCTGCACAACCTCCTAGCCCGTACGTTCTGTTCTTTCAGTGCTGTTTGTTACACTTTGTTGAATGATGGTGCAAGTTCAGATTTAGCTTGATTAGTATTAGCTAAGTAGTTATTAAGGGAAAACTGTGTATTTGTAGAATGAAATAGAACTATTTTTTCTTACCAGCACTGCACATAAACCACCTGCTCAAAATTCTACTGTGGGGCATATCAGAATCATAGAATCACAGAATGGTTTGGATTGGAAGGGACTTTTAAAGATCATCTGGTCCAACCCCCCTGCCACAGGCTTAAACGTTCCATATTCTACTTAAGAGTTACTGCTTTTTTTTTTTTTCACAGGATGAAGATATGAAGAGTACGTTTCAACAGCTACTTTCTCAGACATGTGCCAGTATGAACCCACAGCAGGCGTCAGAGATGGTACGTGTAACAGAGGATTTGAAGATTAATACTTGCTGCATAGAGAAACTAGATTTCAAAGTATCCATAATAAGGAAATAAATTAATTTTGAGAACTTAGAGAAATGTGCATTTTGGCTGTATGTAGCAGTCTGCTGATTACCTTTCTGCATACAAGCAATGGACTTCTGTGCTTTAGCAAGACACTTTGCTTAAATGTGTAGAAACAGTCTCCAAGGCTTTAAAGATTATTCATACATTGAAAATTAAATTGTTGAAATGTATGTTTTGATGGATTCGAGTCATGAATGTTTGGTATTCAAGGAAAAATTCTAATGTTAGTGAAAATGAGACTGGTTTTGTGACCTTCATTACTGGGTGCTGATTAGGAGAATTTTAAACTAGGGACAAGTAAAGCTGGGGGGCAGTGTCTTATATGACAAGGATCAAATACAATTGATAGATGTTGGTAGAGAAACGGTTGTTAGTAATGTTGCTGTTTGGTCACAGAGAGTTTATCCAACATCTCTAATTCTGTAGCACACAAAGCAGTCAGGCTCTGTCTTACCTTCCTGCACGTAGCCATCCTGCTGCATCTTTCTTTTAGCCAATCACCACAAGAAAGCGTCTCCATGAAAATGAGGAAGAATCTGGCTCTTCGAAGCGTACTGTTCCTTCGACGTCATTGCAGAAAATGAGGTGAAAAAAGAGAAAGTGACTTTTGTTACTTACAGCTTTTTTATGGAAAGCAGATTTTTTTATTTAAGAAAAATCTTAATAATGGAATAAATGTTGAAGATGCAATTGCTAAATAAAAATAACTTTGTAAGACTGAAGTGACTGCTGTGTATGCATGCATCTTTTGATGAAAGGCACATATTGTAAATTGATTATGAAAGACTAAAGCCTAAAATAACCCACATCAAGTAGGAATTAAGACATTCATGAGTTGGGTTTTCTCATACGTGCCTGTTGCAGAGATCTTTTGTGCTTTGAGACATTTGATGTTTAACATCCATGTTAATGATAAAACGGCAATTCTTGTACATGAACCAGATGGAGAAACATCCATGGGCATCTGGATGAAAAAAATACCACACTCGTATGTGGTTTTGGTTCATATCCACTCTGGATACCCAGGGGTGAAAAAACATCTGTCCTCCAACAACGTTCCCTTCTTGGTGTACCCGCATTATTGACTGGAACATCCTCCAAGAGTTCTGCTACTCACTGTAGCTCACCTCAAGTAAAAGGGATATGCAGGTGCCATCTGCTTGTAGCAGCATCACAAAGGACTCCGTGCGTTCAGGCCAGGTTTGTGAGCTGGTGTATGGCAAGAGCCAGGACCTTGGGCTTTGGTTACCAGTTTAAAAAGAGCTGCATCAATGCAGATGAGAAGGTAATTCACAAGCTGCTGCTTACCCTGCAAATTAACCGTAATTGGTCTTTAGATAGAAAACTGTAATTTATTCCTCTTTTTACATCCCGCTGTTGGTGCTGGGTTTGGTCTTTTTTGTTTGTTTTGCTTGTTTTGTTTTGTTTAACTCCTCTGCTTGCGGCCTTTCCCCGGGTCCTAAGACCTGCTTTCTAGTGAAACCTTAGCTTTGATCTCACTCATTGGAAGTCAAACCTTTGAGCCCATGCTGCATGTTCATCATTTTAAGTCAGAAAGCTTTCTTAAGTTTTGTTTTTCCACAAAAGAGTAAGTTTGGGAGGTGTTACTAAATTCTGCTGAGGTAAAGTCGCATCCAGTTTTCACGTAGACAAGAAATTATTGTTTCTTTATTGTCTATTATTCACAGCATGAGTGTTTTCAGCATAACTTGCTTGGTTTCAGCGGGCATGAGTCTACAGCGTTTGGATGCCGGCTGTACGGGCACAGTGGGACGACAAAGGATGAGCCCCGCGGTGCCGGTAAGAGCCAAGCCACGCGTGTCCGGGCTCGGGGCGGGTGTGGAGCCCCGCTTACCCTCGAGCAGCTGTT